TCATGCAATCTTTCTAAAATGCAATTCAACTCCAGTCAAACATACCACATGAAATTGGTACTTAACACTATAGGTATGACTTAGAGACCAAACTAGCCTTAGTTATGAATATCAAAGTTATTCCTAATGACACTCTAAACATGTTTGAAGCATTCCTAAGGTTCCACAATCATTTCATACATTGCTCACATGTAAATCCTAGGTCAAACTCAGCATATCATCACTTAGGAGCTTAATTAGGTGAAGTGATCCACATGAACATTGTTCCATTAAGTATCCTAAGTGTAGCTAAGGTATTTTAGTGACCAACATCAACCACTTGCACTCAATCACACATGATCATAAGCATACACATAGAGAAAACATAAAATAACAAGTCATGTTTCACATGTTTCAATGGCATGTTTCATATGTGAAAGCTCATATAGGAATGCTTGATGCTTATGATCATGCAATGCAAGTGCAATGATGCAAGCCTAACACCTAGGGTGTTACATAAGTAATATAAAATTTTATCTTAAATAGTAGATATGCACGTGCAGCACGCACGTGCTATGAAAAATACTCATATTAATGGGTGATATTAATTAATTCATAGTTTTTTATTACAACAATACAATATGGATAGGGTACTTAAACATATTCAATCCGTAACAAGATTTGCACTGATTATCCATGTAGCCAGTCTTCGGTGCATATCCCGCTTCCACCAGATAGTACCGTCCTGCAACACATGCACCATTTCCACAATTCATTTTCGTTATCTTTAAAAGCAAGTACAAAGATGGTTCAACCATTGCATGGCACTAATCACTAACCTTGTGGTGGATGTAGGAACGTTGGTTGCCGCCAATATTCTCTTAGTACGGCCATGTCATGCACTGACCCCGCCATCCTGGCCCCGACAAACGTGAAACGCATATCCATGTCCACAATGGCACAAACATTAATTGTTACATCTCCTTTCCTATTTATGTAGTCAAGTTTGGCCTCCCTGTTCACCGACACTTTAATATGAGTTCCATCCAACGCCCCAATGCATCCATCAAAAAATGGTGCATATGTTGAAAACTGAGCGTGCACTCCAGCATAACTACTATCAATTGGAACTAGAATACTATATGTCCATCTACTAATAATCTCGACCACATGAGTAACCTTCCTACTAACTGTATCTAAAGACCATTCAAATCTATCCCTGCTCCTTCTAGCTGCCCCGTTGTGAGCACAAGTCCACACATACAATCCTAAAGTTTCTATGGATCCATTCTGTTGTGTACCATTCAATTCATACTCAACTAAAATATTGTGCAAATGCAGGAAAGCATCAGGAGACATACGCAGGTTTTCTTTGCACCTTTGTTCGTTTTGCAGATTGAGTTGCATCCACTGCCGCCCACTCATCTTTGGGAAGGGGATGGCAGGGTTGACCACTAGAGCTGCATTGGCCACTGCTGCTTTTAACCTTGCAACGAGGACAGCAGCAGCCGCAATGTTGTAAATTGTCGTTCCTTCGTTGGAGGCGTCGTTGATGTAGGAGTCCTCAGAGCTGCTCATCTGCAAGAGCATGATAAGATAAGAAAGGGCAAATGATATACAAATTAGATATGGATGACAAACAAAATAGTAGTTTTGGCTAAGTTCAACACCACATGCCTTCTATTGCTAAGCCAAAATTATCCAATAGACTCTAAATTTACTTGAAAAATATTAGAGAGCACACACCAGAGCTGTGCAGCAACGGCACACTCAGGTTGTCTCTAGTAAGAACCTTGTTTTTTGATAACAATCACAAGAAAAAGTGAACTCTAGGAGGGACTTTGATATCCCACATAGCGGACACAAACACAGGTTGGACTCCTCTAAAGTTAATAATTTTATACAGGGACTGTGTTGAGTAGATGCCATTTGAATTATACTACCAAATCATAGCATCTTCCTCCTGACTGAAAACTATAGTAGAAGCCAAATTCAAGAATGGCAATGCAGTTGCTTAAGAATGGCACTGCAGTTGGTAGTAATTTATTGTTCACAACGATTAGCACTAGGATTCAGCAGGCAGGGCCCATGAAATGGAGAAGAACACTGTGTGTTGGTACCTTGGAGTAGTAGTCAATTGCAGTCTTACAATCCTTATCTCCAAATCCAATGTCATCAAACTTCATTGTGTTCAGCATCTGTTGCACGTGCTTGGTCCATTGTTGAAAGGACACCTTCAGTTTTTGAACATGCACAAGACGAAATACACTTATCTTAAAAAACAAACAAGTAGGACTTCATAATTTCAAATTACTTGAGCAAGTGCAGACACAAATACCTTCAGTTTTTGAACGTGCACCACTACAGCCGATGGGATGGTCTAGAGAAACAGCACCACCACTTAAAACTAGAAATGTAGGTCAGTGTGATAAGTCACAATAAGAGAGATATCAAGGTAACATAGAACACCAATTAATAGAGTCTTGTCTTGTTATGAGTTGTAGGTCAACCTACAACCAAGATATGTACATCACAGAGCACAATTTATTTCGATTAGGGAAAAACAACGAGCACACAAAGTTCAGGCCACATGCCACAACACATCGATGCAACTAACCAAACAATGTCTAGGGAATATTACAATGACAATATACAACGAAACGAACATAGGGCAAACATACATCCTCAACATGCACAATTCGAACATAAAACTAGATAGACTGCCGTAGAAGGAACGTTCATTGGGATAACGACTACTTGGATCTGGCTCTCAGAACCTCCCAGCAGGCCTCAATCAAGTTCATGCGTCCCTCTTTTGTTTCCATGCTCAGAAAGTTCCTACGGTCCACTGTGTTCTTGAAAACAACTAAAGCATGAGCAAATGCAGGATCAGACTCGGGCAAACCATCTTGTTTCATAATCTGCTTCACTTTGGCCATCTCGTCGTCGTGCTTGCTTGACCCCGCCTTCTGCTGCTGCTGGTTCTTAATGAACTGGGTCAGGTCTTCAAAGCACTCTTCAATGGAAACCGTCTTCTTACTGGGAGGGCTGTTGATAGAATGTTCTCTATTGGTTTGCTTGGAGGACTGGCCGACACTGTGTGTACCTATAGGGTCCTGGGACATGTCGTGTGGAGTTTCATTGCTAGGAGTACTCGGTGTCCTCTCACGATGATGTCCACCAGAAGCGAGCAACATGCCCCTTTCACGGGGGGTGCGTCCCCAAAGAGTGAGTAGTAGGTCAAGGCATTTGGGAACTTTGGTCCACTGCGCAGCCGATTGGCTATTTTCCTACACGTGTGCCATGGTTCCACAAGTTAAGACGAATACAATGGGACCATCCCTAGTACTGGGTAGTCAGCGGGTTAGAAAGAAAATAGGTGGAAGAAAGTACCCCGTTGCCACCCTCAAAAAATGAGGGGTCAACTGCGACACCTCCTGTGGTCGGGTCACGGCCTAGGCCAGTGTGGGTTTGAAGGTCGCGCCAAGCGAAATATGACCGCTTCAGGTCATTCAACTTGTTCTACAGCTGTTTGTTGTCATAACTCAGCTTTGTTTTGTTTTCGAATGCTGGATATAGATTTGACCACCCGACGGCAGTGAGGCCTCGTTGGTTCCAGTGCAAGAGGTTTTTCTGTTCTATGACTAATTCCAGAAAGGTCCTCAAGGTGGCTTCATCCTAGTTAGCACGGTCAGTGGACATCTGTTGCCATTTGCAAAATGTATGGTATGATGAATGCAACATACAAGAAAATTTGTAGCACTTGTAAGACTAACAAATAGGGGAGTTAGGGCGTAAGAGATGGGGACTTGCCTTGCTAGAAGTCTTCGCGCATTTTGAACGGTGGATGCAGTGCCCGCCTTTAGGAGAGGAGCAAGAGGACGAGCGGACGACGCTGCTAGTGTGGCGGATCCGGCGAAAAGGCTGGCAAATCCAGCGAACGGAGAGGTGGATCCATTGACGGCGGCCAGGCTCACCTGCAATAGGAGCACGCGGGGTCGAGATCGAGTCGGGGGTGGGGGGGGGGGGGGTGGACGACGGCGGCATTGGATCCGGAAGGCGGGTACGACGGCGGCATCAGAATAGGTGGGGAGGGAGGGAGGTAACCTCGGATCCGAGGCTACCTGCTTGTCGTTGGACGAGCATCGACGTCGGCGGGTTGAAGGGGGGGATGCGGCGCTCTAGTTCGACAAACTTGATGCTTTCGACGGCGCCGGGGCAGGAACGGAGAAGCGGAGGTCACGCCGGCGGTGACCTGTGCGGTGGAAACCCTAGGCGTGGGGGGCGGGGACGGAGGAGGGAGGGAGGAACTAACGGGCGCGGTGGAAACCCTAGGCGTTGCGGCCGTTCGGAGTGAGTGAGTGAGGGACTGACGGGCATGGCGGAAACCAGGTTGGCTTCTGATTGCCTGTTAATTTGGACTTGGGCAGCCGAATGGCTAGGGTGATCACCTAGCCAACAATGTTTTTGACCAAACCGATTTAGCCCAGCCGAATGGGGCCTAGATCAGACCTAAGAGACAGGAAGACGTGGGTACAAAATATTTAGGTGAGAATCTATTTCTAATTGGTTCGCTAGAAATTCGTTTGCTCTTTAGGCTATCTCCAACAACAACGCTTAAAATATAAGATTCATTCATCATTTGGGTAGCGCTATAGGTAAAAGGTTCAATACCTATTCGGCATCTCCTACAACAAGACTCAAAAGAGAATTATTTCTGCAAATGAGTCTCCAGGAGAGAGGATACCCATATTTAGGTTGTGCCTCTCACGCAAACCAAAATAGGTCTCCCGTATGGACACTAATTTTGTGTCTCTTGCTATTTATTTTGGGTTTGGGTGTTCATACGGGTGTCATATTGGAGAGAGTCGTATAGTGTAGATAGATGGATAGATAGATTATATATGTTATTTCTGCAGCAGATGTGTGGCCTTCTGGTTTAAAAATTTTCGAAGCAGTGCCAAATGCTCAACACCACGCGAAGAACCCCCGTCCCAAGCCCGCACGGCACACTCGCAGCCATGCTCCCCGCCGCACTCCTTCCCTCTCCGCCGGGGTCCCTCCTCGCTTCCACCCCTCTCCGCTGCCACGCTCCGACCCAGCAGCCCTCCATCGCCGCCGCCGCCCGCGGCCTCCTTCTCCGCGGCGCGCGCTCCCCGGTCGTCAAGCGCGTCCCGGACGGTGGCAGGTGGCTCCTCTGGCACCAGTCCGGCCCCCGCGTCGCGCTCTCCACCTCTATGGACGGCCTCCGCTGGAGCGCCCCCGTATCTCCCGAACCACTGCTGCCATCAGAGGATTGGTGGGCGTTCGACACCGCCTCTGTTCGCCCCTCCGACGTCCTCCTCATCTCCGGCCCCGCGGCGTCATCCCGCCGCTTCCCGTCCTCCGCCGTGTACTGGCTCTACTACACAGGCTCCACTGACGAGCGGTTCGGCTCCCCGTTTCCGGACGCGGACGTCCCCGCGCTTCCCGGCCTCGCTATCAGCCAGGACGGCCGCCACTGGGCGCGCATCGAGGGGGACCACCACACCGGCGCGCTGTTCAGCGTCGCGGAGGATGGGGAAGAACCCCGAGGGTGGGAGGCGCGCGGCATTGTCGCACCCAAGGTGGTGATGCACGCAGACGGGGACCTGCGGATGTACTACCACTCGTTCGACGAAATGTCGCAGAGGCATGCCATCGGTTTGGCCAGGTCCAGGGATGGCATCCGGTGGAAGAAGACGGGGAAGGTGCTTGAGGCGGGGCGTGCTGGATCCTTTGACGAATGCGGGGTACGACATGGACATGTGGTCCGTGACCGAGCTGCCAGGCGGTATGTCATGGTGTTTGAGGGTGTCGATGCAGATGGGAGAGTGAGCATTGGAATGGCCGTTTCAGAGGACGGGCTGAAAGACTGGAGGCGGTCCAGCGAGATGCCAGTGCTGTGCCCTTCTGACGATGATGACGGGTGGGATGGCGCTGGGGTTGGTTCACCGTGCTTGGTACGGATGGATGGGGCCTATGATTGGAGGCTGTATTACATGGGTGTTGGGAGGGACGGGGAGGCTTCCATTGGGATGGCGTATTCTGAGGGTCAGGCTCTTCTGAAATTCGAGAAGTGTGATGCTGTTCTCATGTAAGATGTAAGGTGAGGTCTTAGTAGTTTCAGGGGATGTACATGTGGATTTGTTCTGGCCTTTCTGGGGGTGTTCAATTCACTTGAGACAAAACAAAATGTTAAGATTTAAAAACTTTTACCTCAGCTTATTGAATTAGTATTGTACTGTTCTTATTTGCTATATTTGCATCTTTCATAAAAGGTGGTCCTATTGAAGTCCATTAGTTGATAAATGGTGGTTATAAAAAAAAAACTCTGGATCAGTAAGTTTGTTAGGGAGAACAAATGAAAACTGTATGACTACTGAATGTAGATTCTAACTCATGAAGTTTTACTACCTCTGTCCCAAAAAGAATGCAACTCTAGGCGCATTCTTTGTTAAAGTATCTAAAGTTTGACCAAATATATAGATAAAAATATTAATATTTATGAGATAAAATAGGTATACTATGAAAATATATCTCATGACAAATCTAATGATACTTTTTTATATGTAGTTATTAGACAAACTCAAGATACTTTAATTTGGTGCCGTGCTAGAATTGTATTCTTTTGTGGACGGAGGGAGTATGATGATATTTGGTTCCATGATGATAATCACAAGTGGATCTAGAAATATTACTCTGTGGGGGTGTATCTGCCACTTGTCAGAGTTTCTAGAATAGTAATGCAAAAAGGCACATACTGTAGCATGTGCAGCAAACATAATGGACCAAGAGTTCCAGTATGTCTGGACATCATATAACAAAATCAAATAAATGAATTACTTTTCTGCCTCCCTGGATATGAGTATCCTGAAAAATCACGCTTGGTTGCTACCTTTTAGTGTAGTCGGGTCCATGAAGCATGAAGTAATCAGAACTTAGCATGAATCAGATGCAGAGATTGGAATAGCTGTATGCCATTGTTTTCCTTATGAGCTTTTCTGTCTTTGTCACTAGATGTGTAGGTTCATGGCTAGAAATGGATAATGATCTTGTCAGGTCATCTGCCCTGCCAAGATCTGGTTTTCTTATTCATAAATACATATGTTGCTGCATTTGTGTAAAAAGGAGATGCTTATTCACAAACTATATGATTTGATTTAGCTGCATTTGTACTTCTTTACTTAAAGTTGTATTTGATCTGCTGTCTGTCTTAAATTCAGAACTCTTTTATCCCTATCTGTGCTACATATGTATGAATTTGGTTTTTGTTTGACAACTTTAGCTCAATCATATTCTGTGTTTCAGCCTCTACATATGGCTCTCTATCTCTTCAAGTTACTTTTTATATGCCCTTTTATATATGTCTCCATTATATCTGTTTTTATTTCGAGCATGAATTTTGAATCAACTGGCCTCCGTTCATCTTAATCTAAAACTCCACGAGTCAAGATACATGCATGCGTTACTTTCTAACTCTCATCTCCACGCCATGTATATATTTAAAATTTATCTCTTCTTTCCCACCAAATCTAGTGTCAAATTTCATTGTCAGATTTGGCCTTCCAGATATGCTTGTGGTGCTATAGCTGAGAGAACCTGGGTTTTAGAACTGTTGATATAACTGTGAATTTTGTATTCAATTAAGTTTGTTATGTACAAAATAGGAAGCTTTTAATTGTGTCATATGCTCATAGCTACAATATGGTAGCTATCTTTTTAGTTTATGTGATACACGTCATCCTGCATAAAGCATCTCCTGCACAAATTTGCCAATAACACTTGGCAGCTGTGTGCCATTGTCTTGGCATAGATCTAGTCATGTCCTATTGAGAAGATGCTTCGATCTTAGCCAAGTTTGGTCGGCAAAGCCGAAAGCCCTTTACTAGATTGATTCCTGTGCATGACCCCTCGGAATGCCTTAATAGTTTTTAGGCACCAGCTGGCTAACACATCATGGACTAACAAACTGACTAGGAGTCTAGGAATCCTAGACTTCCTAAAGATAGCAAGAGATGACATACCAATAATATAATACTCCCTCCGGTCATATAAACATGTTTATGATAAGATTTAGTCAAACCGTAAAAACTACAAACATAAAAAACTTTTAAATTATTTAGTTTAAAAATATGTAAGTTAAATTTGTATCCTTGTATTGAAAAATATCTGCAAAATCTCATAAGATTGAAGAATTTTAAGAATATATTCTAAAAGAAATTAGTGTCAAAGATATGCATTGAAGACCCTGTAAAGTCAAAAGCAACATTTTTTTTTGACTGGAGTGACAATATCTGGACTTTCTAAACAAATCTAACCTGCTAGGACTCTTATGTATCTAATCTGGCAGGGTGATGTATGTATGGTTTCCATAGCAGCACTGCTTGTATCAACAGGTTGTACCCTTATTAGTTTTCTATTAAGTAGTTTTTGCTGGCTCTTTAGCACCAAAACCAATAGTTCATAGCTGATGTTTTTTCACATTAATAATGGTGATTTTCCACCTTGAATTCCTGAGAAAGGGAAAAAACAAAGTTTTAATCATGTGAACTTAGTCGTCCTTATCGTAACCAGGTGCTCGATAAGGGCCCTCGATTAGTTTAGACCGATTAGAAAACTTATCGTCCGATAAGTTGCGACTAATCACGATTAGTCGTCCGATCAGACTAGCCGGACGACTAGTTTGGGGGAGGGAGAATTTGGCCCAGCTAAAGAATTCGGCCCACCTTTAGCTGGCCCATTAGGGTAAGAAGAAGAGGAGTGAGTGAGTGACCTGGTGGGAGTTGCAGCCGCCCGGCACATTTCCAGCTCCCGTTGCTCTCTGCCTCTATCTCGCAGCCGCCGGCCTGCCTCTGGATCTCCCTCGCCGGCGTCCGCAGCTCCGTCCGCGCCCCTCGCCAGTGTCCGCAGCTCCGCCCGCAGCTCCCTCCGCAGCTCCGCCCGCGCCTCCACCTCCGCTCGCTCCTGTCTCCTCCCCTGCCGGGACCCAGTAGCTCGCCCGCCTCTGAGGCTCCTTCCTCGACGCCTGGAGGACGGACATGGGAGGCCTCAAGCATCAAGATGAGCCACCAGTCCCACCACTCTGCCTCCTCTGAAGGTTATTGTCTCTACTCTGCTGCTGTGTATTGCCTGTTGCCACCAATTTGTGACACATTTGTGTGGCTGTGCCGCTCTGTAGAGGATGCTCGACGGCGTGCAGTTGTTGAGGTAATTCTACCTGAGAATGAAGCTGTCTCAGGAGGGGCTGCCTCAGCGTCGTCAGCTGCTCCAACTGAAGCATCTCTGATAGCTCAAGCGTTAGCTAAATTGCCGCCAGATCTTGCTGCCATGGCTGAAGATAAGAAGAGGAAGGCAAAATCATCAGATCCTGGATGGAAATATGGGTTTTGGCCAGACATAGGGAAGAAAGAGTTCATCCAATGTATTTTCTGCAAAAAGGTTGTCCCTGCAGGCATTAAAAGGTTCAAGCAACACCTTGCTGGGGGCTATTCTGATGCAGTGAAATGTGGTGAAGCACCTGAACTAGTTAGGCGTGAGATGAATGGTTACTTGGTCACAAGGTCAAGGACTCAGGTTCAGGTACCTGCGGACACTGGGGTGGAGACAGAAACAGAAGAAGAAACAGATCAAGGTGGAGGTGGTGCTTCTGCTGCTGCTGAAAATGAACCAAATGCTGGGACAAAGTCAAAGCAAGTTCCAAGTTCTGGGACAAAATCAAAGCAAGCGAAAAAGATAGCTCAAGCATCAATCACGAACTTTGTGGTTTCTGCTCCACCAAAACCTCAAACACAGAAGCATTCCAAGTCAGTGAGTTCTTTGCTTTGCAAGAGTCCAGAAGAAGTGGTTGCAGAAAGGCACAAGTCCAAGATGTCACAGCCCACTCTTGAGTACTCCACAAAGAGCAAGGAAGCAAAGCAAATTGTAGATGACCATGTGGCTGATTTTTTTTATGAGAATGGAATACCATTGAATGCTATTAACTCAAGAAGCTGGGAGATTATGCTTGAGTCCATTGGGCAATATGGTCCTGGGTATTGCTCACCTTCATACCATGAGATTAGGAATCCACTACTTGATAGGCCAGTGAACAAGACAGAGGAGCTGAGAAAGAAGCATGAGGACGCTTGGAAGGAATATGGCTGCACAATCATGTCAGACGGATGGACTGACACTAGCCACCGTCATCTCATCAACTTTCTTGCGAATAGCCCAGCTGGAACATTCTTCTTAGGTTCAGTTGACGCTTCAAGTGAGATAGCCAATGCTTCTATGTTAGCAGACTTGTTAGAGAAACAAATTGACAAGGTTGGGAAGGAGTATGTGGTGCAAATTGTCACAGATAATGGATCAAACTACAAGGCTGCTGGAAGAATTCTTATGGAGAGGATCCCAACTTTGTTTTGGACACCATGTGCTGCCCACTGTTTGGATTTGATGATGGTGGACATTGGGAAGATACCTGAGTTTAGCTCTTGCATTAATTCGGCTAAGAAGGTGTGTAGGTTTCTCTACAAGCATGGGAGAATTTTGGATCTTATGCGAGAGAAGATTGGTGGTGATCTTGTGAGGCCTGCTGTTACTCGCTTTGCTACTTCCTATCTCACATTAGCAAGCATGCATAAGAACAAACAGGGGCTGAGGAGTTTGTTTGTGAGTGAGGAATGGCATTCCAACAGCTTGTCAAAAAGTGCTGAAGGGCGGCAGGCTGAGAACACAATCCTTTCCATATCATTTTGGACAAAAGTGGAGTACTGTATAAAAGCAACACAACCCCTTCTCATTGCTATGAGGATAGCAGATGGTGATGAAACACCAGCAGCTCCTGAGATAATGGCAGCAATGGATGTTGCAAAGAAGACCATCAAGGAAACTTTGCGAGACAAATCATCATTACTGAATGATGTAATGGAATGCTATGACAAGAGATGGGAGAACCAGATGGAGCAAAAACTATATGGAGCAGACCTCTTCTTGAATCCTGGAAAGTACTTTGCCATAAAGGAAAAGGATAGGAGACAAGCTACAAAGCTAAGGTGCATGTTTAATGACATTATATGGAAGATGGTGCCTGATGAGAGTGAAGCGAGGAAAATAAGCAAGCAAGCTGATGATTATGACAGGGCTGAGGGTGAATGTTTCTCAAAGAGATTAGCAATAGTAGAGAGAAATAGCAAAAATCCTAGTAAGTAATGAGCAGTTCAGCAGTCAGCACTGTCTTTTAATTAAGCTATAATTCTCTATGTGATGAGCTACTGATTATATTATTGTTTTGCTTGTAATCTACAACTACAGTTCTATGGTGGGATGCTTTTGGTGGCCTTGCATTCGAGCTACAGAGTTTAGCAAAACGAATTGTAAGCCTCTGCTGTTCGGCGTCTAGTTGTGAGCGCAACTGGAGCGCTTTTGCTCATGTAAGTGCAATTTCTATGGCTGCAGGTGCATGCTAATGCATTCTTATATGCTGCAGCCATCTAATGAATTTGCTCCTATTTTCTATGGCTGCAGGTGCATACTAAAAAGATGAACCGTTTGGAGCACATTAGGTTGAATAAGTTGGTATTTGTTAGCTACAACCGTAAGATGGCATTCAGGTTTTAGAAAATTCATGAGGCTCGGTTCTAAAGGCAAGAAATCCAACCCATTGCTGCTAGAAGAGTTTCAATGGGAAAATGAGTGGGTAGACATCAACTGTGACCCAGTTCATGCATCTAATGGCAGTGATATGCTTTGGACACATGTTGATGAAGCTGTTGGTGCAACCGACCAGCTTAGAGGCCGCAATTTGCCTAGGGCTGCTGCTGCTCGTGCGAGGAATACTGTCACCCGCACATATGGGAGGAATAACAAAAGAAAGTGTCCAAGTCCAAGGTCAGATGCACCAGCAACTGAAAGCAGTGATCATGAAGAAGAGGAAAACAGAGTTGCACCAGAACAGCCACAAGGTGCAAGTGCAATAGATGAAGAAATGGAGGACCAGGGAGGGGAGGAAGACTCAGGCGGACCTGCAACAAATGATGGAAATGAAGACTTCCATGTGGACGCAGATTTACTTCTCTAGATGGCTGAATTGCTGGTTCTATGGATCAGTGGACTGGATGTTGTGTACTGCTGTGTACTGCTAGTTTACTTATGGCTGAATTGCTAGTTTACTTATGTTGTGTACTGCTGTGCACAGTGTGCACTGTGCTAAACTGCTGTTAGTTCCTATTTGTTAAATTTGTGGACTTGGTTAAGTTGTTTTCCCATGCTCTACTGTCTACTACTCTTTACATTTTCTTTAATCTTTACAGTTTGTTTTTCTGCTATTTTGCCTATTTAACTGATTATCTTCTTTCTTTGTAATTTCAGATTCAGAGTTTCAGAGTTCAGACACAAGTCAGCAGCAATATTGGTCAGCAGTCAGCACTCACCATGACACCATCAGGCATCAGCAAGCAGCAGTTACAGGTAAGTGGCCAAATCACCATGATAATGATTCATTGCAAACATGATTACATGCCAAACTGTGCTTGGTTGCTTGCCTCTAACATTTACCTATTTATTATGGCCATGTTTACATATATTTACATCATATATATATAGTATATACATGGTCGATCAGACCATCTAGGCACAAGGATGACTAAATGTCCGACTAGCCGATTAGACCGATTAGGACCAACTAATCGACCCTTATCGATCGTCTGATCGGTGGTCATACGACTAGCCTCGATAATACGATCTGAAAACATTGGCTAGCAGTTATGGGTAGGAGTTAGGACTGTTGAGTATCATGGATTTCTCGTGAGTAGTGTCTATTACTGATTATACCATCAACGATGGGTAGCAGTTGGTTCCACTAAAAGTGTCTTAGTCTATACTCAAAGTTTGGTAACAGTTTTTTCTAATATAAAATACAGTGGTTATGGCAGCTAATTTTGGTGCACCAATGTCTATTTTGTAATGTAATTTTAATTCCTCCTTATGCATTCAACATATTTGTGTAGAATTGTACCAACATCTAATATGGTTGTGTGCACAGTGGTATTCATGTGTTAGGTGTCTTTTGTCATTTCTCATCTTATTCACCTTTCTCTTAGGGCCCGTTTGGATCCTTGGAATTGAATTCATTCTAATAATTACAATTTAGACATAGATTAATTAAACTAATATAGTTGTATATGGAATATATTTGTATATTTATTGTTAGGCATACAAGGGACATACTTATATGTTGCATTTCTATTATAGGGAAGTGAGTTGAAGAGTGCGTTATAAGTTGGAGAGTAAAATTATAGCATAGTGATCTATAGAATCCATTTCCATCTCTCACCCTATGAATTTGAGATAGCCTTATTTGTGAGCTTAGGAAAGTTATGGAATGTCAAATTCCTAGCCAAATAGCCTAATCCATTAAGTAGATTTCAATTTCTCCAAAATGAAGGGATCCAAACGGCCCCTTAGAGTTTTTGTTAGCTATTTGTTTGTTTGCTTATGTCTTCTATTTTGCATGGACTATTAGCTGACAATTTATCTTTCAGCCAAGTGTATTTCCTTTGAAAAAGTAGATTGCATGATGATCATTAAAGGAACCTACTTTTATAATTTGAATTTTTCTTAGCATACTTATATGTTGGTATAATCCTGCCCTTCTGTTTCAACACTGTAGGACATGTACTTCCAAATTCATGCAAATTGCCACTTAAACACTTTTGATACTATTGCTAATTAATTTGTGTGCTTCTATAAAGTTTCTCACGTTTACAAAGCAATAGGCATGCGGAGTGTCTGATTGATCATAGAAGACCTGCACTGTACTGAGTTTCATGTCTTATGTAATTTGTGATTTCATTGTGGCTACATTAGGGCATGTTTGGGACCGCGTTTCTTGCGGCGGCGGTGAAAACAATCCGAGAATCGCGCCAAACGCTCCCACGGTGCGATGATTCTTTTCCCTGCACACGGCATCGGAACTGCACAAATGAACTAGCGCCTGTGTTTTCGGCACCGCGGCCCTCGCGCCACGATACACGTACCGCACCGCGCGGTCCCAAACACGCCCTTAGTATGTTTCACTTGCTTGAAAATTACAGATGACCAGTTTACAAACCTAGAAGTACAGATGGTAATTTATTTGAAACAAAGGTAAGATAAATTATCCCAATTAAAAACACTGCTTGAAATCTGGAATGTGGAATTCTAAACATAATGGTTCCTGAGATAAAAGGCAGTTTTGCAGAATTACGATGGCTACCAAAGTTTTCTTTTCAGATGCAACAAGCTGTCAAAGAAAGTGGTAGTGTCTTCCACTGGCACAAGAGGTTGATCTGTTTTGAAAGGCCATGTGCAGAGGGAAGAACCTGTACTATGGTCTCAATAATGCAATCATAGTTATTTCATTGGGTCATGGTTGTCCTTTCTTCCTTCGTTGAGAGGTCAGTGTTTTGTCTTTTGCCTTCCTGTCCAGTTGGTGCGTCCACATGTTTTGAATTTTACACGACCCCATAATAAATCAACAGTGTCGATACTGAATATACCACAATGTTTCTTCCCAGTCTCTCATGAAACAGTTCCAATATCTTTTTTTCGTGCCCCAGTAACCGCGGTACTTCTGTGTCATATAATTGTTTGGTCACTAGTTTTCTGGTAAAATATACCTGTTCTCTCGAATAATGTTTACCTTTATCTGTTTTTTCCCTGACATGCTTCTGGTAACCTGGACTGGTTTGTTGTAACTAAAGATCATAATAGTTTTAAATTTTCTCGACAGTCTAGGGGACACTATCTACATCTTTGTTGACATTCTAAATGGAGGATAAGTTTTGTATCTGCTGTTTAGTCACTTTATAAATTTCTTTATGGAAAAATTGCAAAATCACCCCATGTGTCACTTTGGTTTTGAGATTCCACCCCATAACACCTTTTGTTGCTAAAAACCACCCGACCGTATATGCACTGAACTGATTTCACCCATTTTTGCCATCCTAGAGCAACTGGTGTATTCATTATTAAAGTTAGATACTCTAAAAGAATCCAACATTTTTTTAGAGCTTGCAGCAAAACAATCACTGATGAAAAGCTTAAACCTGTTCGAGAAATGAAAAGAAAAGCTTAAACATGCTCCCATGTCCTGTGTATTTGAGGAAAAAAAACACTTAAGCTTGGTCACACTGGTTTTTTCTATCTACAATATTTCTTCACCGCAACATGATGAATAAACATACAAGCATCGGAACAAGTATTGCTCGTCTAGCATGGCCTGTAGTGGCTCCAGAGTCCAGACTTGAGAGAATGGGTGGAATCTTGGTGGGGTGTTTTTTGCAATAGAGCCAACTAAGGGGTGGGCATTTGCAACAAAACACCTTATGGGTTGGAATATCAAATCTAAGTGACATATGGGGTGGGTTTTGCAATTTTCTTTACTTTATTCGAATGGAGGAATTATTTGCACATGTAAATTTCAGTTTTGAATTTGTGATATTCTTACTTGATCGGAATAGCGCTGCTTAATCATTCTGGGTTGGATTCCAAAGAGAGGGAGACAAGACAACTTGGGCGTTGAACTAACAACTGTAAAGTCCTTGGATCATTAATGTAGTGCTCCTGCTGTGGTCCTGGTGGCTTAACATACAGTTATTTCTAGCGCTAGGCCAACAGAAAAGAAACTGACAGAAAAAATTTATTTACTACATCCTCACAACAGCTAATTGTTTCACTTTCACATGCATGGACAAAAAAATACATACTGCTGTAGCAGTTGTAGCATTTATTCGTTGTGCTCGTTCTGTTTCTCTTTTGACTTAAGATGATCCAATAGATTTTGCTCAGAAGTCCTTGAAAAAACTGGAGGGGACTGTATTCTAGACCAATGGAGGTGACTGGGGTGTCAGCTCTGAGTTTACCATGTGAAGGACACCATTCCAATAATTCTTATCCTCCTCATCTGATGCTTGATTGCTGTGCTCAGTTTGGCCATTGTTGGACTCACCCCAGCATTCTGATGCGTCATGCTCATTGGATACACCAAACATCATGCTAGTGAAGCCAGATCCAACCCCAGCCATCCCTGAGAACCACGGTTCCTCACAGCCAATGAAGTCATCTTCCCTCTCCTTGCTGTCCAGTTCCAGCACTTGGTGCTTGCTGAAGATCTGCCAATCGTTGTCTTCACCCTCCAACTCATCACTCCTCTGATGCCACATCACAGAGTTGCTTTCTGATACCTCTAGTCTGTTGGTCCTGGGGGTTGGCAGCATGCCACTATTGTTCTCTGTAAACGTCAGTGTGGAGGTAGGTGACTCCAGGTCTATCTTTGCACCCTGCCATGCATGCAGCACGTCAAGGCATGGAGAAGCAGCAGAGACATTCGTTGGCTGCGCATGTAGTGCAGTTGGTGTTGGCGTTGCTGTTCGAATCTTCGATTCTCGATCCAGCCGTGCCTCAGCCTCGAGACGGGCACTCTCCCATTGTGCCATGTGGCTGAGGCTTGCCGCGGCCTTGGCTGATTTGTTGTTTGTGGTGCCAGTGAGAGTGCCACTGATAGATTTGTGGGTGACAGGATCGATCCCCATCTTGGCCAGCCTTTTCTTGAGGTGTGTGTTCCAGTAGTTCTTGATCTCATTGTCTGTGCGATTTGGTAGATGCGTTGCAATGGCCGACCACCTGAACAGTGCCATGAAACAGACCTATGATTTAAAATTAACATCTTGTTTTCATCTACAATGTATGCCGAAATTCTATGTTCTGAGGGAAGGGGAGATGAGATGGCAAATTAAAAAGTAGAAACGCTATGCCATAACTCGGTACATGCAGCAGGATAGATTGATGCACTTAGATGCCTGCATACAGAAAATGCACTAGAAAAATCCTTTCTAATTCAGTATAAATACACTGACAATCCTTCTCTTTGCTTTCAGGTGTGACAGAAGCTCACGTATATGCTTTGTAAATTGTCACTAAATGGCAGGCAGCAGTCTGACAGGAACAGACGGTGCACTTCGCCTTAGCAGAAAGAGGCCAGATAAGATACATAAGACAAAGGATCAGCTCTGAGCACTTCAGAGGATATCACTACTGTAACGATCTGGAGTTGACTGATTTCACTGGTACTCACCTGTTGCCTAAAAGAGCATGAAGCTGGATGATGGTCTGCTCTTCTTGCAAGCTGAACTTGCCCCTCTTGATGTCCGGCCTCAGGTAGTTTGTCCACCTCAATCTGCAGCTCTTCCCACACCTCTGCAAGCCTGCAGGATGTTGGTCGAGATCTCAGAAACTTTGTTCATTTGGAAGATGGTAGAATTCAGGTTTGTCCATACTCACCTGCCTTCGCCGGCAATGCTCGCCAACTCCCATGTCCGTGCTCCTCAATGAAGGCAAGCAGCTTCTGATCCTCCTCTGGCGTCCATGGACCTTTCTTCAGTCCAATCTTCTCACAGCATGGTGATCGCCCCATAAAAGCAGTGTGGTGTGTTATTTTTCTTAAGTCGAACTGACAGCTGAGTCCAGAGGGGCTGAAGGATAAATAGAGCAGGATGAGAAGACGCCAAGCCACACTGCTACTGCAATAAATCATTAGCATGACAGGAGGTATGAGCTCAGAATTTTCCATGCCTCATCGTGACATAAATGCCCTTGTGTTGGGTAGCTTCAGTTTTGTTTAGGAGGTACAAGTAGTCGTACATTTCCTCATTGATCTACTGAACGTAAAAATACAGTAACAAACAAATGTCTTCATTTGAGGGTCAGTTTAACACTGAGGTCCAGTTTGCTATGGCCCATGAATTTAAAACTGCAATAACTCCATGGTGATTGGGTCCCACAGGTGACACCAAGTCCAGGTTGGTGTTGGGTTAAGGCAAAGAAATGATTCATTTTCTTGAGGTGAGATGGGTCAAGGCTATGCTCTGTAGCTTGATTGAGGCACCACACCATATTGAAGTCATTTGGACTTAGGCTTGAATGTTTCCAGTAGATATAGTGGTATTTATGCTTTCAAGATCAGTTATTTAGTCTAGTGGAGAGGTAATATATAGCAACTCTCCTGCTATGCTTCGATTTGGAGTCTGGTGTGACAAGGTGTAATGCCAAAAAATGATTCTGACTGAGGATTTCATCATGACAATGTCACGTACTCATGTACAGTTTTGGTGAGGAGCTATAATTGGGGTCGAAGTATTTTTAGCTATATAATCATTTCGTTTCATTAATCCCATTTTGCCTGTGGCATATGCTTGCCATCTTGTCTTGGTTTAAGGCTGAGCTGAATGGACGAAATGACCCAACCTAGAGTGAGGAACAACTTCAGAACTGTGGATGTCTAGTGGGGTACCGAAGCCATTGCTTCTGTGGATGCAGGACTGCAGGAGGCGTCAGATCATCACAGTGTCACTTTTCAGAATAAAGGAAAGGAAGAGAAATGAATATGATTGCAGCCTTTCCCGAAGAACTGTGCTAATGATACTGTTTGCAGGCAGTGTTCAACAGAGCAGTAAAAAACGAGGAGTGTTTTCCAAAGTTCTAAACACCCGCAGCGACAGAGTTCAGAAACTGATTGTGCTACAATAACTAAAACAACATAATTTGGAATTACTTGTCCCTAGCCAATGTTGAAACAAACAGTATTTGGTGGCGCAAGGAGCTAATATTAGGTCAAATTAGCTTATGTTGATATTACAGGGCTGGAATGAGAGATTAATAATGCTTTGGGGCTAGTGTAACTGTTTTAGTTTGTGA